ATTCTGTCTGTACATCATTTTCTTGATTTCCTTTAACTCTTTGCCCGTGGTTTCCTGTAGTTATTGAACTTCTTTAAGACAGCTGAATTAACATCTTTGACTAATAATTCTAATGCCTAGACTTCTTCCAGGATGATTTCTTTTTTTTTTTTTTCCTGTGAATGGACCACACTTTCCTGTTTGTTTGTATGTTGTGTAATCTTCTTTGTTGAGAGCTGTCATTTTGAGTGTTATATTGTGGTAATGCTAGAAATCTAATTCTCCCATTCCTCAGATGTTGCTGAGTCTTTCTCGTTGAGTGCTGGAGTCATCCATTTGTGACTTTCCCAAATGTTTTTGAAAAGTGTATGGTCATTGAAGTTTTTCTCCTATTATCTCTACAGGTAACTAGTAGACTGACAAAGATTTCCTTAAGTTTCTGGCTCCCCAAAAATGTGTGTGTGTGTGTGTGTTAGGGGTGTGTGTGTTAGGTGTGTGTGTGTACAGAAATAATTACTGCCACTTTAAATTTCCTGGAAGCTGCTTCATCACTTGGAGGTTGAAACAATGGCCAGTGATCAAAACAGTGGCCAGCAGTCAACATACACAACCTCAGCTTTTGGAGGACAAGGTCGTTATTGCCTGCTCTGATATCGGCAAGTCACATCCTAAACAGGAGCTGCCATCCCCACAGCTTCCTGCCACAGGATGAGAGATGGGGAATGATAACCACTAAAAAAAAGCCAAAATTCACCAAAACCCTTTTTATCAGTCTTTTCCCTGGTTGCCGAAAGTGTTTGACTACACTCCAGACTTCCAAAATAGTTACTGTTTTGAGTTGAATTGTCTCCCCAAAACATACTGAGGTCCTCACCCCAGGTACTTTGGAATGTAACCTTATATGAACATAGGGCCTTTACAGAGGTAATCAAGTTTAAATGGGGTCACTAAGGTGAGAGCCCTAATCCAATATGACTGATATCCTTACGAAAAGGGGAAGTTTTGGCACAGACACACACAGGCACGGGGAAGGCTCCCTTGTGGCCGGAGCGAGGCTCCCACAAGCCAAGGATGGCCAGGATGGCCGCAGACACCAGAGGGGCAAGGAAAGATTCCCCCAGAGCCATCAGAGAGCATGGCCAGGCTGACACCTGGCTTCAGACTCTTGCCTGTACGGCGATGAAGTCCTGTTGTTTTCAGTACGCAGCTCGTGGGGCTTTGTGACAGCAGCCACAGGGAGCTCACACGGTAGCTTCGGACAGTTCCTGCCAGTCCAGTCATCCTTTAGGCAGAGGTGGATTCGGGGA